TTAGCTTTTCTGATGGCTTCGTCACACTGCCGACTCATGTTCATCTTGGAGTCCACTAGGACTCCAAGATCCCTTTCCGCTTCCGTTCCATCAAGCAGGTCATTTCCTAGGCAGTAGGTATGCTGGACATTTTTCCTCCCTAGGTGCAGCACTTTGCATTTCTCCTTGTTGAATTGCATTCTGTTGTTTTGTGCCCATATGTTCGACCTGTCCAGGTCTGCTTGTAGTTGTTCCCTGCCCTCCGGCGTGTCTACTTCTCCCCACAGTTTTGTCATCCGCAAACTTGGACAGAGTACACTTCACTCCCTTGTCCAAGTCGCTGATGAAGACATTGAAGAGTATCGGTCCTAGGACGGAGCCCTGCGGGACTCTGCTGCCCATACCCTTCCAGGTCGATACCGACCCATCCATTACGACTCTCTGGGTGCGACCCTCTGGCCAATTCGCCACCCACCGGACTGTGTAGTCATTCAAGTCACAGCCTCTTAACTTGTTCACCAGTATGGTGTGGGATACCATATTGAAGGCCTTCCTGAAGTCTAAGTATATGACGTCAACCCCTACTCCTGCGTCCAGGCGTTTTGTAACCTGGTCATAAAAGAGACTAGATTAGTCGGGCATGATCTACCTGCTACGAACCCGTGCTAGTTTCCCCTCAGCATAATTTGTCCTGCCGGGCTCTCACAAATGTGACCCTTGATAATTTTTTTCAAAGACTTTGCCAAGGATGCGCTTCTCGTTACGTCTGCACTGCAGCTGCACGCGTTCATGGGCTATTTATCTGCCAAATGATTGTTCATATCAGGTCGATTTCTGATACAATTTCCTTTATATTGGTGCTGATCTGATATTGGATTGATGTATTGGTGCACCTCTACTCGCATATTGTACAATCATAGTTTAGAATGTATTTGATGGTTCTTACTCTTGGGGAAAAAAAATCCCGCTAACCTCAGTAAAACCTGTGACTGTTTAAAAAAGAAAATAGAAGGGGTGGACACAATCTTTGATTATATTTTGCAAATGGTTTGGAATCTGATTTGGATTAGATGACATGCATGGTTTAAACTGACATATAATTTCCACTTTGCGCAACTTCTAAAAGGGCAGAAGGAAAGAGAGAACACTGGGCTGCTTACAGATATGAACCCCCCCCC